GTGACAGAGCCACCAGTATTATTGCTAGAAGATGAACAGATGCTATAGAACGCATGAGCTATAATTTTTAATGGGGGAGCCACTCCAAGCTTTTGGTAAGCGGTCAAAGGCTGCACTTGTATGGAGGGAGTGTGGGGTTTGGGATGGCAAGTGAGTTGTAGAGGGGAGCTTGGAGTAGAGGACTGGAGGTACAGAAGAGGGTGTGGGGTCTGAGAAGGAGTTTGGGAGAAGGAGTGGATTATGAGCTGGGGTGCATGGTCTGGGATGAGATATGGGTGCAGGAGACGATTCTGGCCTGGGGGAGGGGTGTAGGAGGGAGTTGTGACCTGGAGGAGGTGGGGAGATGGGGTGCAATGGCTTTAGATGGTGATCTGGGGTAAGAAGTTGCAGCGGGAGAGGGAGGTTTGGCTGGGAGATGCTTACCTAAGTGGCTCCCAGCCAGCAGCCCTGCAAGAACCTGATACAGGCTGTCTGCTGTAGTTCCAAGCTGCTCCACATGGCTCTGTTCCAGCACAGGGAGAGGAGAGTGAGGAGGCTTCATTTGCTGCCCCTGCCATGAACAAAATTTCTTGGCTTCCATTGGCCCGTTTCTGGCCAACAGGAGCTAAGGGACTTTGCTAGGGGGTAGAAACAGCACAATAAGCCTCCCCATCCCTCCTGAGTGTGCAGAACAATGAGAAGCCAGCTGGGTGCAGATGAGGTGGCAGAGAGGCCAGATTCAGCTCACTAGCCTCCTCTTGCCTATCCCTGCTATAGAAACCTCTCTGTAAACACATGAAAAAGTGGAATTTAATGCTACAAAAGCTAAACACATCTCAAATTTTATTTACATTTCTGCAACGTAAACAGTCCACGTTCATTTTTGGCTAACTTGAAAAATAGAGAGAGAGGAAAAAATTAGCTGCTTGACCTGAGACTTGAAAGCCAATTTCCAGTCTCAAACGTCAGTCATAAACTCCTGAAGTTCGGGTTTTATAATGGGGGTGTCTACACAAAGCTCTGCTATAATTTTCTTCTCATTTATCTTATAAATGAATTAAGAAGCTGGGTCAGAACAGGGCATTCTTTCAATTTCTGTTGTCAATTGGAGACAAGCTTGACTGATGCTGATTAAAATTATGAATTCAGACTGTTCCAGATACTAATCCCTCTGTGTTTTATGTCTTTCTATAAAATAAGCAACAGGTTTCATACCTTAAAAAAAAAGATTATGCCAAGCTCATTTGACTTGATCAGATGCTGCCACAAAATGATTAACAGCACAAGTTTTGAAGGATAGGGACTGGCATGATAAAGTAGCCAGTTTTACAAAGCATAGTGTTGCATGTAGGAATTTGGCATATGGATTTATAGGCATTGGATAAGTCAAGTTGCCATGGCAACAGGTTTCATACCTTAAAAAAAAAGATTATGCCAAGCTCATTTGACTTGATCAGATGCTGCCACAAAATGATTAACAGCACAAGTTTTGAAGGATAGGGACTGGCATGATAAAGTAGCCAGTTTTACAAAGCATAGTGTTGCATGTAGGAATTTGGCATATGGATTTATAGGCATTGGATAAGTCAAGTTGCCATGG